GTACTCCTGATGGAGCACAGTATATGAGCTCTTCCTAAAAATCAATAACAATGTTCCCTAAGAGGTATCCAACCAAATCATCAATTCCAGTGGGCCTCAGGATTCCTAGCAAACCCCCATCAAAATGTAATTTGATAGCTCCTAATACTGCTCATGTCTGCCTAACAATTATTTTCCTAGGAAGTTCGAACTCTCATTTTCATTTCTTCTTGAGGATTAATATATATCAAAATGTTAATAAACCCCTACATCCATTTGTAACCAGCATCCAGTGAACACATCTTCTAAAACCCTGCTTTTAATCCTTTTTCATTAAGACAAGCACCTTCAAATACCTTTCTTCAATTTTTCCTCAAAATAACTTATCGAAAAGCTTTCCAAATTATCCTACCAATCTTTGGTGAAAGAGGAAGTTTTAATTAATCAAATATATACTAGCAAATCTCGAAAATTACAAAACTTTCTAAGTGACCACATCCAAATACTAAATATACCTATATCTTAAAAACAGGCGACCATTGCTTCTTGAAAAAAGTTTATATAAAGGTGAGGCTATAAACAATCAAACTAAGGTGCACCTCAAAAATTTATTAGAAGAGGTTGTTTCGATGCCCAAAAATCCTTAAATCAATCATCTCGACTTCAAGATGTATGAACATTAGAAAGAATGAACTTCAAGTCTTCAAAATAGTGTACCTTGTAATACATTTTCTATAACATCAATTTTCAACATTACCAAGTGTCTGTAGATCTACTCGATCTACACTATTTTTTTAAGCTTTAAATTTTATAATTAGATATAAAAATAAATTTTCAAATCATGACAAAGATTTTCAATACTGAAATAACACTTTTCGATGCTTTTTCAAGGTGCGCCTTACTTTGATTGTTTAGAGCATCCGCATTTTATAAACCACACCAGTGTTTCTTTTGCCCGTTTGCACAACAAACATACACTCACAACAAATCCTTTCTTTCTAGAGATTGTTTATAAAGGGACCATTTATCTTTTCTACATGGAAGCCACAATCATTTCCACTCATTAAATGTGGAGTGAGTCACAAAGTCTAATAAAGTTTTTGGATCATGGTGTCTATTTAATGATACTCTTACAACCACCCATTTTGAAATTTAAGAGACAAAAATGATTGTAACCTCCACATATAAAAGATAAATGGTCTCTTTGTATACAATACCTTCTTTCTAAGCGCATATGCAGTAATAGACTATGATAAGATCATGATTCTCACAAATGCATGTACTTGTGTGGAATAGGTCATTTCTAAATCTTCACAACACGTGGTTGTGCACTCCTATATATATATATATATATATATATAATAAGGAGTATTAACTAAAGGTAAATTGTTTCTTGTCGGGTTGGACTGCATGACTACATAAGCGGTCCAAAAGTGTACAGCATCCATCTTAAAGATGGATGCAAGCAGGTGTTCCATCGAAAAATAATGGAAACTAATGGTCCAAATGTTTTCTTACTAAAATTATTATTTTTAGTCTTTAAAATTTATTTATTTATTCATATTTATGCTCTCCATGTTAGAGATTACATATCCTTAAAAATTAAGTCCAAAGATCCATCTCAAAAACAGATTTCTTAATAGGCCCGCATTTCTACATATGCGAGCTGGGACGCATGGAAACCAGGTCCTTAACTAAAAGCCAGCGTTTCAAAAGTTGGCAAGTTGAACCGGACTCGCCCAGTTCGACTCGGGAACCGGCACACCTGTGCCAATTCTACTGAAATAATAGGGAATCACACGTGTCTAGAGAGAACCGGGAGATTCCCAACCGTGAATCGTCGAGTCAAGCCGATTCCCAATAGTAAAACACAAGCTGCACAGTGTTCTTCACAGGATTCATGGTTTTTTGTTTTTTATCATTTTTCATCTTTTTCAACTTTGTAATCGAATCTTTCAGCCTTTACTTTAATCTTTTCAACCATTTTAGTCAATAAATTGTAGTGGAAATCATCGATTTTGATCACAAATATTGGATCTATGAATACCAAAGCGTGAGTTTTAGGGATCCGCCATTGCTCTGATTTCAAGCAAAATAGGGCATTATTTTTTATAAAATCTGAGGGTTATTGATCTTAACAGTGTTGTTTAGAAGTTATTGTTCATTATTTGTGAGTATTTTGCGCCATTGCTCTGATTTCAAGCAAAATTGGGCATTATTTTTTATAAAATCTGAGGGTTATTGATCTTAAGAGTGTTGTTTAGAAGTTGTTGTTCCTAATTTGTGAGTATTTTGGACGATTACATATCAGATTTGAATTTGAAGCCACTGGGTGCTGGAAAACAGATAAGAACTACGGTTTTTTTTTTTTTTTGTCACCATTCTATCAATTTTATTCAATATTTTACAAATAATGTGTTAATATTATAGGGTTTTGATTCATTATAGCATTTTTTATCATCACATGTATTCAAATTAAGGTTGATTTTCGAGAAAAAATGACTGATGTCTGTGAAGAACTGCGTTTTTTTTTTTTTGCACCATTCAATCGATATTACTCAATTATTTACAAATAATGTGTTAAATTTACAGGCTTTTGTTTCCTTATAATGTTTTTTATCATCACATATATTCAATTTAATTTGAGCTTGATTTTTTAGATGGAATAACTGATGTCAGGTGGGTCTGTGAAGAAATGTCGTTTTTTTTTTTTTTTTCCTCCATTCAATCGATTTTATTTAATTTTTTGATAATAATGTGTTAACATTTATAGGGCTTTGATTCCTTAAAGTATTGTTTATCATAACATGTATTCAATTTGATGTAATTTATTCGATTTGAGGCAGATTTTCGAGTTGGAATGACTGATGTCAAGTGGGTCTTTGAAGAACTGCATTTTTTTTAGAAAAAATTTGATGATTGATTTATTCGAGAATTCGTGATTTTCTGAAAGATTGTGAAAATCGTGACCAAGTTTTGATTATCCTGACAAATTAAACTGTATTTTTAATTTTTCTTATTAAATTTTTAATGTAAAAAATTGCATGTTGATAAATTATTGATGCAAAAAAATACACATTAAATTTTTAATGCATAAAATGTATGTATATGATTGATAAAGATTTTTAATTTTGAGTCAAGGTTTTGTGAAGAACAGTTAAAGCATTTTTTTTTAGCACAAAACTACAAATATGAGATGAAGTAAAGTGCTATTATGAATTATTTTAGAGGGTTTTTAAAGGTAATATTGTAATTCAATTAATTTTGCATATATAAAAATATAAATATAAATATAAAGGAAAAAATAATGGCATAAAAAAAATTAAAGAGGAAGAAAATAATGTCATAAAAAAGGAAAAAAAGAGTTTTATTTTTATCTTTCAAAAAAAATAAAAGGAAAAAATAATATCATCGAAAAAATAAAAGAAAAAAAGTAAAATAAAAGATAATGCAACAAGCATTTCTTGTATCCTCTAAAAATAAAATAAAAGGAAGAAAATAAAGTTATCAAAAAATACAAAGAAAAAATAAAATAAAGGATAATACAATAGTACAATAGTTCGATATTTTAGTGGCCATTTTTCATCGATTTAATCCACATTCTTTATTATAGTCCATATATGATTATATATTTTATCCATGATGATTCTATGATTTTTTTTTTTATATAATGTAAATTTAATGGTTAACATAAGTTTAAACAGGGAAAGAACATCTCAATATTCGTAAATTGATGAAAAAAATGAAATAATAATGTAGTACTCCCATTTCTTATTGGATTATTAAAAAACAACATTCATGATAAATTTTAATAATTTTTTTAGATTTGTTTTAAAGCTTAATCCGACCTATTCGATCGATTTTCGATCCGAATCGCCGATTCACCGATCCAAATCACAAATCCATTTTTTAAATTATTTGGCTTCGCCTCCCATGCAATCACATCTTCGCTTTGAGGGTCGTAATAAACCTACTTAAATCTAGCAATAGTTGGGAAACTGGGGCATCATACCATCAGCGACTGATATCATTGCATAGAATATCCCAAGTAATTTTATATCATTGCCGCTTACCACATCCACAACCACAACTTTTGTATGTTGCTATTCCAATTTCAGTTATAACTTGGGCATTGAAGCTTCAAAGTACAACTTCTCAACTACTCGTTATGCCAAAACATAACGTCAAACCATGTTTCAATTTAAAGTCCCAGCATTTCTCTCTAGGAAAGGCTTGCCTTGAAGAATACTTTTTCTAAATAGGTGACAAGTTCGGCCATAACCATCTCCAATAAGGTGGATATTTCGGCTAAAACCTTATTTGACAACCAATATTCACCTCTACAACTGATTTTCACCTTGGGTACTTCACCACCATTTGGTCATCAATGCTTTCTTCATGATTTTCAACTTTCTAATGTACAAACCACCATCTTGGCTGGGCTCACAAACTTATCCCAACTCACAAGATGATATTTCCTTGTCTCCTCATGTCCTCTTCAGAAAATTAGCCTTATTAAACATGCATAAGACGAACATGCTACGTCACTAATCTAGACAACCTAGTGTCAATAATAGGCATACCTCAATCGATAATTGAAAACTTGCACAGGTGCCCTCCTCTACTACATCATTTAGCATAATGTGATACAAAAGGCCCCTGCTACCATGGCAAAGAAAAATTGGGATAATGTATTCCACTGTCTTAACTTTCTTTCGTAGCTCTAAAAAAACCTTCAGGGCCTCCCATTGACTAAAACTAAAAAATGTCCATCAGAAAAATATCCTTTAATCCCACCCCTCCATGTCAACAACCTGATAATGCATCCGTTGGCCTTTTCAGGATTCGCCAATCTTGAGTGGACAAACCAAGTCCCCTTGGAGTCCCTGATTCTATTTCTCTAAAATATTTTTTAACAATTTCATACAAGCCCAGCACATTTTTGCCAGACAGATACAATGGAAAGGTCGTCCACAAGGACAACCCAGGATTTAAAACACTAAGCCAATGCATTCCACTAATTATATTTTAATCATGCCAATCTTGCTCCAATGCAACGTCACCTTCAAACCGCCACAGAAGCATAGTATATAATATAATGTATCAGTCCAAAACGCCTTTCTTTACAATGAAAACACTTTTGCTCGCCAACCCCCCACCCCCCCAATTCCTGGTTTTCAACCAACTTCAAATCCCATTTGTGCATACAGATTACTCATACAAAATGAATAATAATAAGCAAAAACCTTATTTTCCCAGGGTTTCACTGTTAATTGGAAAATAGGTTGGAATTTTCCATGAGCCAAAGAATAGTGAGAGGCCTCCCAAAACCGCTTTTGCAAAAGGCAGCATCACCAGTGCTGCTTGTGAAAGCCGCCTTTGTTTCGAGAGATGAACGTGTTCTTGGGCTTGGGGATATCGTGAATATCCATGACTTGAATCGTCCGTTGCCTCTTAGCTATCATTTAACAACAAAGATTACAAGCGTTAAGTGAGTTGTTTGATAATAACGAAGGAAATGACATAATATAAAATATTCAAACCTGCCTGATGCACTAAAAGTAAAACAAGGATTTTCTATATTGGCCTTCTCCTCCAACAGACTTACACCAAAAAAAAAAAAAAAAGATTTTCTATATTTGTTGAAGCCAACCACTCTAGAAAACCATTTACTAGTGAGCCACCGGTTTTAGCAATTTGTTCTCAATACCAAATATAGCATTCTCTTTTCTGAAATTCCTAACTTTTAAAAAAAATGTTGAAGTCCTACCAACATATTTTGATGTTTTTGCTTATGTTTGAAGAAGTTATTAAAAAATCTCCAATCCAACTCGGAACCCAGTAAGACGGTAAGACATAATGGAACTAGCAGCTAAAAAAGTGACTTGATCCAACATGAGAATCATTCTAGTCAGACTGGATTTATGATGATGGGTTTAGACAATTTTACTTCGGCCGTCTACCTAACACAACCATGCCCGGATACTTTTTACCCGGGTATGGGATGGGATAAGAGAAAGTTTAAGATCATCACCCTTCCTAAATCATTCGAGTCATTCGAGTCAGACTGGCGAAATCAAAATCGGACCGCTACCAAGCCAGGGCCACATTTAGATTATTTTTCTCAACAATTGATTCGAAGTATAAATGGGGTAAATGAAGGGAGGGCGAATCTCAACTAGCAAAAACTCTACTTGAAAGTGTAGGTGGTAGGTAAAAATTACATTTTGCGACTACCTAAAGTTGAACTTTTTATTTCCTTGCTCGTTTTCCTAAAAAGAATGTTCAGGATATTCTAATGTATTACCATATTTTTAAATCTTATATTAAGCCTTAAATATGCATTTATTAGCCGTGAAAACCAATGTAGTACCAAAAGAGTTAAAAATAAAATGCAAAATACAAAAGCCCCCAAAAACATCAAAAATATGTTTAAAGTAAAACTAAATAAAAAAAATCTAAATGAGGTTAAAAAATAGTGAAAAAATCAGTTTTGAAAAATCAATTTGTGACTAAGGGTATTTTAGAAAAAATCTAAAAAAATTAAAAATTAAATTTTCATGTCAAAAACATTTTTCAATCTTTGCTAAAATGATAGAAAACATTAAAATTTACATTATAGATAAATTTTTTATTTTTTAGGAATTTTTTTAAATTTTATTAAGATCCTGAGCTTGACCACCAAAACAGGGATTAACCCGACCAGTCTAGTCGGCGGCCGGTTTTTATGAACATTGGTAGGAATGTTTAATAAGAAACCAGTGCTAGGAAAACAATAAAAATTAAATATCCTAACTATCCAATAATATTACAATAAAAATATTCAATCTACCCTAACAACTGCCTCTTTTATGTAAAACAATAAATACCACCCACTTGCTAGGAAAATGAGGCATTATACCCATGGGAACACGGAGGGGTACCCAAAATGACGCCCAAAAAGCAAGGGGCATAATGGGCATCAACAAAAGATGAACCATTCTCCTATGAATAATGGCGTGCTGTGCACAGAGAGCAATACAAGAAAGGTGCATTAGGAAAAGAGACAAACCATTTTCGGCCTCCTGGTAGTTTTCATGGAGACGCTTTCTAGCCGAGGCAAGCCTTTGGAGATCGATGGCATTTTCTTTTTGTTTCTGAGAAACAAAATAAAAATCATATAAAATTTACTGCAGAAATAACAACAAGTACAAACCAACAAAACAAGTAAAATCAGGATAAAAAAAATGAAAATTGGTGGCCTTTTAATGAATGTTGGTCAAAATTTCAAGCACATGGAAAGGATTCTGCAGTGTAACTCCCAAGAACATTAGGTGAAAGATCAATCAAAATAACATAAATGTTTTCATGAATTTTGACTAAACCCTCAAATTTTCTTTTTGAAAAATTTTTAAGGAATATTATAAATTTGATTATAATATGGACAAACTTCAATAACTCCAAATCCAGATGGATAAAATAGTTGTGCATAAAGATCAGCCTGCCACCAATCCCCACCCAACTCTTATCCAAAGTCTAAAGGAAATTTTAAGGACTGCACATAAAATACAACAGTTATGCACTGTTGATTGGTTTCTTGGCCAGTCTGGTATAGTGTGAACTACGAGCTTGATATAAATCAGTAAAAACTAACGTTTGACGGATTTTGACTAATCCAATCAATTGTTTTTCACCAGTTGGAATGTCTAAACAAAGTTAGACAACTTCTTTGTAATATATCTTATATTTATTAGCTATTATTCCTATGATTTCTTAAGTTTTTAAAAATCCAGTCCAAATAGTTTGTTTGGCTATCAAACAAGTTTTTGGACTGGTTTTGACTAGATCAAAGCCTTGACCGGCTCAGTGGCCAGTTGGATTCTAATGACACTGATGAACAACACAGTCCCAAATACATAGTGAAGATGAACCGTAGTTCTCTCTGAATGTCTATATCTCCGAATTACAATTGATCACCACCAACCATCTTGATAATGGTGGATAAACTACTGGCCATACACATAGCATGTATACTTTCCCTAAATACAAACAAAACAAATTTAAGAGCAAGCTAAATTTGGATTGTCCTTAATGAAATTAAAGTAAAACTTCAGAGACATTTTACACGACTGATCAAAATTCAAAGAAAGAATAAGAAATAACATACCTGAGCTGGAATGGAAATAGGAGCTATTGGGTTAGGCTTAGTCTGAGCTTCTCGTTGTGGAGTAATTCCTTTCCCTTTGGAACCAATTTCGGAGTAGTTGGGACCCATCCCAGAACCACTACCTGCTTGTATATTAACTGATTACTTCGGGATCAAAATAAAGCACCACATTGTGTTTTGGATAGAAACAGTAAAGCACCACATTAGGAGAAAACAAGTCACCGGAAGGCAGGGAAATGATCCAATGAGTCATGATTATTGAAGTTTAGATGAGCAAAGCTCATTAGGACTCATAATTTTTGCTTTCATCTAAGCTCCAATGAACCAGGAACACTTAATCATTTTCACTAAAGTATGTACTATGATCCATATGACCATCGAAATTCCATGGCCATGAAATGATTGTCTAGCATGTTCCAATCAATGGTGAGGCCGCAGAAAGAAAGAGACCTACCAATTCAGCCATGAAATGCTGTGGAAGGTCCCATTCTCCAGCATCGTGCATCTATTGATTGAACAATGAGATGCTTATCAACACACAATATCTATAGTCATGTGGATCATAGGACGGTGTTTTTCCTAATATTATGGTTGAGATTGAGGTACTCACTGTAACCGTTGGGAGAGTGCTTTGATTCCCTGACCTATGGCCAGATTCAAAAGTCCAAAATGAGTCAACAAATACTTCCATAAAACTATGAAAGCTTCTGAGAAAATCCACCAATTATCACCTGGTTTCCATTCTGGCTGGCTCTGGCCTGATGGTTTTGTTGAGGGGACTCGCCCTCTGCTGCCATTGTAGACAGAGAGTGTAAGCTTTCAAAAATGTGAGAAACATAAAAAAAAGAAGCATCAGTATGGTGCTATAAGGTTTTGCAACTTTTGCTTAAATGTAAGAGAGGTACCAACTATTGCAGCAGCAGCTCCTTCACCCGCTGTGCTCACCCATTCATCCACAAGCTCTTTCCACTTCCTGAAACCCAATTCAGATGAGATGAGTGAAAGAAAGAGAGACCTAATTTCAGTTTCTTTTTTTTTCCTGGAATATTCCAAATCCGCATTACTCTTAACTTATGGGTTGCAGACAGAGACCCAATTTCAGTTTCTTCATCTTCCACTAAATAATTCAATGCATCTTACTCTTAACCTCTAGGTTAGAGAGAGACCAAATTTTAAATTCTCCCTTTTCTTCCTTCGACATTAAGTATAGGAAGTATTCATTTGCAGAGACAGATATTGAGAGAGGGATTCAATTCCATTTCCTTCATTTTTTCTTTCCTTCAAATTTTGGATGGAGAGAAAGACCCAATTTCAATTGGTCAATTCCTTGTTTCTGATTTACCTGATAAGGTGCTTTACGAGTCGTCGAACCTCCGTAGAGGGATGCTTCCGCAGGCCATTGACGTGTCTGCCAATGTCAGTTTCCTGCAAAAACAAAAAAAAAGTATTTCTCAATTCTAATAAATATATAAATAAAAGAGAGCTTACATTCCAGTCATTGTTTGAAAAACTGCCCGATCTAACTGGAAACCACCCAGTTAGATCGGAACCAGCCCTTTACCGGTTTCGGTTTCAGGTGGTTTTGGTGATCGGCCGGTATTTTAAAAATAAAATTTCAAAAAAATATCTATAAAATCCCAAAAATAAGAAATTTGATTTGTAATACATTTTTTAATATTTTTTACATTATGGTAAACATTAAAAATTGTTTTTGTCATTAATACTCAATTTTAAAATCCATATTTTCATTAATTTTTATCTTCATTTAAATGTGTTTTGTTTTAATCATTATTTATATGTTTTTCATATTTTAGTAGATTTGTTTTGCATCTTTTTATTTTTTTCAACAATTTTTTGGCCGCCCGGGACTACAGTTAGAACGGTTGAAGCAGCCAGTTTACCAGTTAGACAAGTTAAATCACTTCTGGCCCCACGTCTGGTTAACCATTCTGGTTAGATTTTACGAACACTGATTCCAGTATAAGAAGAAGGAATTAAACAGTTAGAAAGGCTAAGCGGATTCTGCTTGTTTTTTAATAAAGGAAAGGATTGGTTTGGAGGTACCTTGAGAGCTTTGACGGTTACGTCCATATCTGTCAGGCTTTGCAACAGATCAATGACGGAATCCTCACTCTAAAATCAAGGAATGCAACAAGTTAACAAAAGCAAATCTTCACTCTAAAATCAAGGAATGCAACAAGTCAACAAAAGCAATCACTCTAAAATCAAGGAATGCAACACTCGACAAAAGCAAAAATGTAGAGAGAGAGAGAGGCTGGAAAGAGAGTTCGGGAAAATCAGGAAATGAAGAAAACGACCTCAACATTAACAACCCAAAGCTTTCAAAACTCACCCAAGCTTCTGTGTTTTTTTTTTTTCTCTATGATGCCCCTAATAAAACCTCTAATTCTGACATTCAAATTCGTCACTTACAGGTCTTTGGTAAGCTTGGGATTAATAAATAAATAAAAGTTTCATCTTATTTCCATGTTAGATCTCTACAACACTCCTATTGTTCATGGCTGAAATTCGAAATACGGCACATAACGTGGGGGGGTAGAATGGTCACGTTTGAAAATACAGGGTAGTTCTCAGTTAAGTTAAATACGTTCATTCCTTTTACCGGTCTTTTGGTCAATAAACCAAAAGATTGGCCCAACTGCAATCACCTTCATACGATTGGTTTGTTTACGGAAAGTTCAAGTGATTATGTTAAAATTGCATATAAATGCGCGCACAAATTCACAATTCTATGTCTCTTCTCCTACTTCCTACCCTCATGAGCTCCTCTTTTCTCATTCTAAATTCGGACAATAGAATAAGAATAATAGAATGCCCTTGTCACCGATAATCCCTCTCTTTCACAAAATGAGTATTTCTCTCTCTAAAAAAATGAGTATTTCTCTCTCTAAATTCAGAAACTGCAGACTGGACTCCTGACTATTAACCTACTATAACATCTACAGAGACCACGTCCCAAATGGTCCCCAACCTAAAAGCTACTATACGTCCCTAACCTAAAAGCTACTATACTCGACTCCTAACCCAAATGGGTAAGTCATTTGCGTTCAAAGTCCTGCAAATTTATCGAATTGAGAGAGAGAAAGCTAACATTCATTCACGAAAGTGTGAGAAAGCTAACATTGATTCAGGAAAAGTTACATCGCAAATATCCCCATTTTAGAGAGAGAAAATAGGGAAACTGCAAGAAATTCGAGAATGATAGAGAAAGCAAATTTTACTATTAAAAAAAAAGAGAGCAAACTTAGGATAGTATGCGGGTGTTACACTGATGTCTTCTCCATGAATAAATGGAAGAACAAAATGAGCAAAATAATCATGAAAGTGGAAAATATCAGGTAAAGTAGGAATATACTCAGGAAAAATGGAATATAATCAGGGGAAAAGGAAAATAATAAAGAAAAATGGAAAATAATCAGGAAAAAATCGATAACCAAAGGGAAAGTTGCAGGTTCTAACCTGATCAGGATCCTCTAGATCCTCCTTAATCGCCAAAAGCTTATCTTGAATCAGTCCGCCATGGCTTCCGTGCTCCTCATCTCTTCTATTACCCTCCTCTTCCCTTTTCATTACAGGTTCTCTGTGCTCCTCTTCTCTTCCATTTTGCTCCTCATCTCTATGGCTATGCACCAGAGACTGTGGAGTAGAAGGAGAAGCCCCTTTGTCATGGCTACTCTCTCTCTCTTCCCTACACTTCTCTTTTGTAGTGCTTAGCCTTGCAAGATCGAGATCACAATTATGGCACCCGACCACGCTGTTACTTGTGTAAAGCTTCTCTGCTATTCCATCTCTTCTTACTTTGAATTCATCTCTGTAATCCATTTGAGCAAGAGAAATGGCAGATTCAATCGCAGTCCACACGTCTAAACCTGAGTTTTTTAGAAGTGATCGAAACTCGTCCAAATCCATGTTCTTCTCACTGTTTTCCGGCAAAAAGTTGCCGGAAAATAGGGATTGAGCTTTCCGGTAAGCTACTCTGGCCAAAATCTAGAACTAAGACGGCTTAACTGAAAATGCGGAAATCAACAGGAGCTTTTCACTGCAAATCATTCACGTATTGAACAGAAGGAGACAAAAAGATGGAATCAAATGGGGATAAAAGGAGGTTAAAGATAGGAGGAGAAGAATTAATCTGATTCCTCTTGATCAGAGCCTGTGAATAGGGAATATCGCCATTATTTCACACGTCAAATTGTGAATCTCTCCGTATTTAGCCCTAAACAGAGATTACAGAGAGAGGGATTCTTCTAATACCTGTGAAATGCAGATAATCTAATAGCGTCAAAAAGCATCAAATTTCATAATATCTGCTAAAAGGGGAAGAATTCATGCGATTCCTTTGTTCCTCTTCTGATCAGAGAGCAAAAAGGAAAATTCCTCACTGTTTTCACCGCCATATCCCAAAATATGCTCTGTGTCGCAGAAAGAAAGGTTACAAGCCCTCAAATTGGGTGAGAAATAGCCCTAAGACAACGGCAATAATGGCGATTTATGCAGAAATGCGAGATAACTGCAACAAATTGCTTTGTTATTCTTGATTAGAGCTTCCTTGAAATGAAAGTTCCTTTTCCTCTAGAAGAAAGAAAGAGAAAGATTAAACTTTCTTCAAGGGAAGAGAGAGAAACATAGAAGACGAAGAACGCTATCCTGGAAAAGCTAAGAAAGTAACTTTACAGCGGCTAGGCCTGAAACCCTAGCTTGAAACCGAGAGATCCTTGTCTAATCGCCATTGACATAAGGAATGAAGCTCAATGAAACTACAGGACCTTTCGAATTCAGCTTAGGTAAAAAGCCTAAGATCCACTTTTTCTAGGGCCAGCAGGCCCAGCTTTTAATGGCGGTCCCTAGCTTACAACCCTTGGGGTTAGGGTTCAGACTTCAGAATGAGAAACATAGGAAACCAGCTGTAGCTCTTGAGAGAGAGAAGGTTGATAGAGATGTGGACGAGTCAGAGAGAGAAAGAGAGAGGTGGGATCAGTTATAGAGAGAGAGGTGGGTTCGGTTTGCTTTTGGCTGACCTATGGTGACTGAATTTTTTTTTTCTTTCTCTTTTATTTCTTGTTCTCTCTCTAAAACACGCAGTCTCTCTCTCTTCACCATGAGACCTCAAGCAGTAGTGCTTTGCGCACAGGAGGATGGATGGATCGAAGAAAAAGGAGTGGAGACAAAAGGTTAGGCAAAGGAAGCGCGGATTTTACATGTCC